AAAGTATACGTTTGCATCATTAACATTGCTTTTTACTACATTGAAAATGTCGACATTTGAACCAAATAAGTGTCATTTGCGCGAAGTGTTAATCTTTTGCTTCAAATGGAAGAAAACTGCAGTTGAAGCTCATCGCGAATGCTTGTAGAAGTTTATAGTGATAGTGCTCCTTCCAAAACATGCAGAGAATGATTTCGACGCTTTAAAAGTGGTGATTTTGATGTGAAGGACAAAGAGCGTTCTGGACGGCCAAGAGCATTTAAAGACGAAGAATTGCAAGCATTGGTGGATAAAGATCCATGTCAAACGCAAAAATAATTTGCAGAAGCATTAAATTGTGCTCAATCTGTTATTTCTGATCATTTGAAAGCCTTGGGAAAGGTCTACAAGGAAGGAAAATGGATCCCACATAAACTGAAGCTAAGAGACATTGGAAGGCGAAAAATCATCTGCGAAATTATGCTTGCTAGGCAATAAAGAAAGGGGCTTTTGCACCGAATTGTGACTGGCGATGAAAAGTGGATGTATTTCGATAATCCCAAACGCCGATAAACCATTTGCGATCCAAGCTAATCATCGACATCGATGCCAAAGCTAAATATTCCCGGAAAGAAGGCAATGCTCTGTATTTGGTGGGATTAGAAGGGTGTAATGTACCACGAGCTGTTGAAATCTGGTCAAACAGTCACAGAAGATCTCTACCGAGAACAAATTATTTGTTTGAGCCGAGCATTGCACGGAAAACGACCAGAATATGAAATCAGACACCATAAAGTGATTTTGATAACGCTCGGCCTCACAAAACTTGTCAAGGAAACGTTAGAAGCACTTCACACTAGGAAGTGCTATCCTATGCGGCTTATTCATCAGACTGCCCCTTCCGACTATCACTTGTTTCGATCGATGACACGCACTTGCAGAGGAACACTTCAATTCTTATGAAGACGTCGAAAAATGGATTTCTGAGTGGATAGCCTTCAAAGATGAGTCATTCTTTCACCGCGGAATTCGCTTATTGCCCGAAAGATGGGAAAAAGTCATCGCTAACGATGGACAATATTTTGATTGAGGTACTTTTTCATTTTGTTTTTTTAAATAAAACCATACTTTTTGCAAAAAAACGGACAGAACTTTCCGATTGACCTAATAAAAGCTTACATTGTTAGCTTCACGAAGAAATTATGAAATATCTTTACCTAGGATATTCGTCGCGGTATACAAGAGTCGGTGCAAACAAGAAATACAGATATTGCGAGAATGTGGGACCATTCGGTTGCGCAATTTCGCTATGAGGTTTGTATGACAAAAATCTGGGCGCCGCGCTCCTGACGAAAGCATGCGTCTTCATCATCATGCGTATCTAAAAAAAGCAAATATCTTTTAGAGCAGAAAAAATTTTAGCAATAATAAATCTTATGATTTACGGTCATTATTATTATATATTATCCGCGAATCGGTCGAAAATTTTTTGATTAATTTGCATTATCGAAAGTGTGTGATGGCATGCCAAAAAATTTATTTACTTCAACGTATACTTTGCACAATTTTTCAAGTCATAATTCAAGACACTATAAGGGCAAATTTTTAAAGATGCGTACTTGTTCCATAATAACAATTAAACTGCAACCTATGGAGAGATTCGTGTCGAGCATCGCCTTAATGGGAAAAATGATAAAGAGAATTAGATACGATATAAATATTGATAGCCAGGTGTAATCCCACAATTTTAGAATGCAGACTGTAAAAAGAAAAGACATACTTAAGTAATTTAAATTAAATTTTAATTAATATTATTTAATATAATTGCTTTAATTTGTTGATATTATTTAACATTTTTTAAATTATTAATTTTCTTATCTTATAATTACAACTTAGTTAATTAATTATTATTTTACTACAAAGAAGATTATTAAAAAAATTGAGATTTTATTTTATTCAACTATTTCTTTTATCAAACTACTTTTTAAACCAAGTGATTTTTCTATTTAAAAATGTTCAATTAATTTAACTTTCTTGATATTTAAATTAAGCACATTTATCTGATAAGGGAACACGAGAATTTCTCCGATTTAAAATAAACTTTTAGTTATATTAACTTTATGTTATACTAGGACTAAAATAGGAGACATTTTTTTATATGTGCTGAGTCGCATGTTAAGGGAGTGAAATCCTCCTTTGAAAAAAATTAGTTTTTTTCTTTTAGATCGAATATCATCGAAATTATAAGAGATAGAAAAAAATTTGACAACAATGAAAATTGAATGGCATTAAGAGTACTTTAGAACTACAATAAAAATTTTTTAAAATTATTTATAATAAAAATTATTTATTTATAAAAAATTTTTTTTTTATTGTATAGTTCTAAAGTACTCTTAATGCCACTCAATTTTCATTTTACAAATTTTTTTTGTATCTTTTATAGTTTCGACAATAATCTTTAATCTGAAAGAAAAAAAAAATCGATTTTTTTCAAGGGAGGATTTCACTCCCTTAACGTGCGATTCAGCATATATAAAAGAATACGTCTTCTATTATTGTCCATAGAACAACATATTAAAAGCTCATTTAAGTCGGAGAGATTCACTTGGTTGTGTTGCTTTGTAAGTCTATATTGAAGAGATTGTTACATTTTGATAAGAATCGGAATCGTTGATACGTCCAGAGGATAAAAGCGACGTAGACACCGAGTGTCGAGGCTTGCATGAACGACCAAATGTAGATGCACGTTGAAAACTTTGTGAAACCAATCCTTATCGTGTTAATACCAACGTGACTTCTGTAACAAATTATGTAAAAAAAAAAAAAGAAAATTAGGCAGTAAAATAAGCATAAACACGAAACGAATATATTGCAAACAAATATTCCAAATTTTATAGAGAGAGTTGTCAAATAATTAATTTATTAATCAGATTTTTTGATCTTTTAACGAAAGTTCATCGCACTTGTAATAATTAGATAGAGGAGAAGGTAGTATTATGGCATTCCAGTTATATTTTATACAATTTAATTTTGTTAATAATTAATATTTAAGTTTAAAATTTGACAATTACATTTGTTAAAATGTTGTTAAATCGATTTTAGACTCAAAGTTACGAAATATTTATTACTTAGAATATTATTAATAAAAATGTGGCGACATTGCATAATGATTCGAAGAAAGAATGGGTGATAATGTGGCGATATATTCCATAAAAATAGCCTTAAAATATTAATTTTGTTTAGAAAATAGTATTTGATTACAAAATTATAAAAAAGTTAAACATTTTAAAATGTATGCAAATAAATTTATGTACATTCACATAACGTTTGTATATAAGCTGTTCAGTACTGAAAATAGTATACGTAATATAAACTATAGAGCTACAATTGATTATCAAATGATTATTTTGATATAAAACCTCAAAAAAAGAGTGATGAATAATCGATATCCATGGAGAGTCACATTAGCAAAATGCTATGCTTCAAATTTGCATAATTCAAAATATATATAGTCAAATAAAATGTTAAATAACATACTTAAAAATACATATATTCATAGTGATAATCCCAGTGAGAAATGACAATGGAATCGATGGGATACGCTTAAGTTTAAGAAAAATAAGGAAGTAAGTGTAATTAAATGCTAAAATATACTTCAGGAACGTTTCGAAATATTTGAAAGTAAAAATGCGTTATAATAAGTGCTGCTATGGAATAGTGGTATATTAACGTCATGATGTAGCGAGTTATACTGAACAAATAATTCCAGTAATAAAACATAATAATTAAACGAATAATTAAGTAATCATTAGGATTCGCTATATAATAACGGAGATATTAAGGGAGGCCATAATATATACACTGGCCATAATACCACCTTCTCTTCCTCAAGTAGCACACAGTGTTTACAAAACGTTAATAAAGCGCTGCTGTATTACTTGAGTCTAAGTATCTTGATTATCATCATACGAATAATTTTCTAGATATCACTGTGAAATAACTGTGTGTCATTTACTTTAATTTCGATAATTCGATATCACACAATCAGATAATAAGTGTATAGTTTTTATTAATAAGAGATAGTCTAAAGTTACAATCAGCGTGTGATATCGCCAAATATCTTTTAGAAATTTGAGACTAAAAATATTAAAAAATTGTTGAAACTAAATTTGGAAATCTAAGATTAAAATTTTTTTAGAGAAGGAGATACTTAATTTAGAAATTTTGACTAAAAGTATTTATTTAATTATTAATTATACATTTTTTAAATATATATTTTCACATATTTTTTAAATACACATTTTATAAAAAGTATTTATGTGTTCCCACAAGATAATGAAATCAATGAATTTTCTATGAAAGAGACAAAACAAGTTAGATTTCCCATGTTATATACTTACGTTCCTAACTTCATAATATCGGATGCGACGGTACTGACAAGTAAGTACATGAAAGTCATCAAAAACATATTGTAAATCGAACGAATGTGTGGGCTCTCAAAGAGATCGGTGAGTAATGAATTTCTTTCAAGAAATTCCTTATCTGGCAGCGCATCTTTCTTACTGGATTTTCTGCAGGAATATCAGAGATGCAAATATGATTAAATTATATATTTTAATAGACTTATTTTAATAGATTATATACGCAAAAGAAGGGCCAGCAATGTAGTAACAAATTTTAATTAAAATTCAATCATAAATTATAAAACGGCAAAATCAACGTTTCGACTCCGCTCGGGTCATTTTCAATGTTGCGGTAATATTAAAACATCGCTATAAAAATATCTATAGTATTACATTCTTCATATGTAGTGCCTTGCGAGTCAGTTATATCAGAATTCAAAGTAGTCAGAAAAACATTCTAGAAACCGTGAACAAAACATTAATACTTGATACAAGTGAATTAATAATATATGTATATATATAATCATGTACCTTGTCAATATCAAAGTAAAAGTGTTAATTACGTGTTAATTAAATGTTAAGAGTCCATTAATAGAAAAGAGAGAAAACGCAGGTAGATGGTATTCCATTTCGCACAATGGTTTTTTTAAGCAAATTTGCAAGAGTAGCGAACAACTGACTTCCACAAAATCGAATAACGCAATATCGAAAAGGAAAACACTAATAGAGAACAGAAAACGGCAAAAAAGGAGGAGGAAAAAAGGAAAAAAGATATTAGGGAGAAGAAAGAGAATGTATTGTATAATGCCAGAATATACGCTTTAGGCAAAGATTCCGTGTCATTTTATCTGTTTATTCCATGCTTCTGTTTTTTAATGTGTATCATTTCAGATATTAATCTTTTATTATATGAAAGTTCTATATCTAATATGTCCACTTTATCCCATTCAAAATTGTGATTTTCTTCCATACGGTGGTTAGAGATCACCGATGGATTTGCTCAAAAATTTTTGAAAAAATTATTGTGCGATATGGATTATCATCTACCTGCGTTTTCTCTCTTTTCTATTAATGGATTTTTAACACTTTTACCAATATTGACAAGGTACATGAATATATATATTGTATATTATTAATTCGCTTGTATCAAGTATTAATGTTTTGTTGGTCACGTTTCTAGAATGTTTTTTTGACTACTTTGAATTCTGATATAACTGACTCGCAAAGCACTACATAATATGAAGAATGTAATACCATAGATATTTTTATAGCGATGTTTTAATAATACCGCAACATTGAAAATGACTCGAGCGGAGTCGAAACGTTTGTTTTGTCGTTTTGAAATTTATGATTAAATTTTAATTAAAGTTTATTACTACACAACTGGCTCTTTCCTCTTCTTTTGCTTCTTGTTTTATACTTACAGAGCCTTATTATTATTTATTAATTAATAGAGTATTTTAATATTTTGTGCTTAAAATTGTTATATACTCTCAAAAAGATCTTTTAACTTATTCTATCTGTATTCTGTATTTTTATAAATTTTTTCTACTCAAAGCTGTCTCTGTTCTGATCATTTCTTACTTTTTGTCGCGATATTTGTCCATCTTATATAAGAATCTTATACATTTTTCATTCTTTATCGAAGGTATCTCTATCTTCTGCAGAATCTCGGATGTCATTTCGTTAACGCGGTTGTTAATGTGCCCCAAAATTTCCTCTCTTATTTCCTATAAAAAAACTGCTTATACAAAAAACATACAAACAAAATCCATTTTCATGGAACCTTATTTTATTTAATCTTGCGATGTACTTTGAGATATCGTCGCCCTTTTTTTATTGCGAATTGTTACTTAGCTCGATAAATTTAACGAAACTTTAATTCACATTAAGTACGACAGATTAAGTTGAAGTTAACGATATATTTTCTCGTACCTGTATTCTTTTTCGCAATACAATAACCGTCATTTCACGTAAAATATCCGTGAACGCATTAGCCGCTGAAAAGAGAAACGTAGATATGTGTATATAAATAAAGAAAACAGAAATAATAGATTATTTAACAGATTTATTGAGAACTTATATATAGTATTTATGCGAAGTAATTTTTGCCAATTAGGTATTGACTTGCTCTATTGCAGAAAAATTTCTCGATCTTCAAATTAAAGAAGGTTAGGATAATATTATATAATAATAGATACTATTTAAAATATGTAGAATTTAGCTTTTAACGTTACTTTCAAGTTATAATCATAATTATTTTATTATCATATTTTAATTTGTGTCTTCGTTTGTTGATTATTAATTTTCAAGTTAAATACAATATAAAAATTCGTTTATCATTATAATATGATAATAATAAAATATATATGTAAATAATATTTATTTACTTTTTTATGAAATTGCCGTTTTGAAGTTAAAATCTTTTAAAAAAATGCAAATTTACATTATTTATTTTACTTATTTTTGTTTGTAAATTAAGGTTTTTAAAATTAATTTGGTGATAGCGACAATTAAAGAAATGAAATAAAAATAAATTATTACGTATTTTCGAGAAAAGTATTAAATTATAACAACACGACACATATTATATGTATTTGTATATTAACGTTCAATTATTAACTTTTTGTAATATTATTATAATTATAGAGAGGTTTTCAACTAATAGATAAACAAATGGCAGTAAATATAAAACCTTAGCTTATCAAATATATTGTTGATTGTAAATATATTCGAAAATATGTTTTTAATATATAATATACGTGAGATATAAAGTTGCAAAAATAATAAGCTCCTTGAAATTTGGTTAACTTTGTATAAGAATTTCTTAATAGAATCATTTAATTAAAAACGAGAATTAAAATAAATAAAGGGAATGTTTTCGATAAATTTCAATTAAAAATAATTTCTCCGAAATTTAATAAATAAGTCTTAATCTATTATTAGAAATGAATAGGTAAACTTATGTATAATAATAAAAATATAATTGATTTTTCTTAATATGAATTAATAAAAAAAATTTATTTATATTTATTATTTTATATTTATTATTATTTTTATTTATATTTATTTATTTATTTTAATGAAAGATTAGAAAATTGTACATTAAGAATACTAAGAAATATTGAAAAAGAAATTTCCGTAAAATTTCTTGTCTATTATGGAATTTAATCATTCTATAAATAATTAAATTTAATTATCTCAGAAATTAAGATTGTGTGTGTGTGTGTGTGTGTGTGTGTGTGTGTATTATGTATCTTATGATAAATCGAGTTATTTAATTACCATTTTTATCCTTCTTTTGAAGATCTGCATTCACTACACCGGAATCTTTATTATCTATGATTTCTTTAATAGAACTCATAACAAATTGAGGATGGTCCATGGATCTTACAAAAATTTCTTTTCGAAAATATTACACTCCGAACTCTGTGTCACGCTCTGAATTTGTGATTTTTTCAGAAAATAGCTTCAATCCAATTTATAAAAACAAACTGTAATAGAATCTCTTGGATTTTCAAGCGATGGAAAATCTCCGATCTGCACTCTCGCACGTTGCTATTATTTCTTAGTTAGGAATTGTTAATTTTCTTTTTGACTTCCTGGAGTCAAAAAGAAACACTGTTGTTGATCTTGATAGCGAGACGAGATTCCTCGATCCTAGTTTCGACTACTGTGTACGCGGATTATCTTAACGGCTCAATCGTGTTCATCCTACCATAAGTACAGTACACACTGATTTAATCTTAGGAAACATGTGTTCTTTGGCTGATAGATCCTCGGAAGGACGTGTGACGTCGTACACGTACTTGTGCTCATTGTTTTTCATTCCCTCCAAGTTATTGTCGTACGAGTTTAGGAAGACACGTGCTAATAAAAAAAAGATCTCTCTCTGAATGTCTCTGATTTAAAGAAATAAATTTATTTTTATATTTAGCAAACTTCATGATTTTAATAAATTTTGGAGGGAATTTTAGAATTTATATTTAAAAATATAAATTAAAATTTGAAAAAGAACATATTTTTGAAAGTAAAATTGAAATAAATTTCATAAATAATCATTAAAATGTTATTATAATTGTAATTGTCAATTTAAAAATTATTTATTTTTAATTAAAATTTATAATATCTTTTAATTTTATTTTCAATTTTAAAATGTCTTGTTGATTTTTTTCGTTGCATTTTCTTTCAGTCAGTTCTACTTTGATCAATTTTTTACAAAAATAAATCATGTCGCTTATCATTATCGAATAATAAATTTATTAAAATTGAGAAACTTTTAACGAGTTTTGTAAAACAAACAAAATTATAAAATTATATTCTTCGGTTAATTTGGGTTGAACTTATATTTCTTCAATAAAATCTTAATTTGTTGTTTAATTAGAAACGTAGTATAATAATTTATAAAAATTGTCACAAACGGTTGATCTCGTCTGAAATTTGTATAATAAGAAAACTTCGATGTTAAAGAATTTTTTATCATTAATAAAATAATTACTTTGGTAAAACGAGAAACTCTAATTATGCTTTATAATCGCTTTCGTAACTTTAGATTTCGTGACATTTTTGGTGATCGCTTTTGTTTGCATTCTTGCTGATAAATTAATTTGATATCTCGAATTTCGCGATTTTCAAAATGACAAATGTACGTGCATACCTTAAGAAAAAACTAGCTGTATTAGTAACTGACGATATTGAATCAATTTGCATCAATTACTAATAATGTTCTGTCAATGATTGATTACAATTTACAATTATTGAGGTTGGGACTTTAACCACTTTTATTTCTTATGTGTCTTAGAATTAATATATTTTTTACAACTAAACTTTTTCAAAGTCCTTTTGAATAACGAGATAATTGTGTTGATTTCATATTTGTTTTTGAACAATTATATTTAAATCGTTTATTTTATATACAAAAATAAACAGTTTTGGTTTTAGGAAAGAATACATGTTCGTTCTTTTTTGTGTATTTTAGTAATATTCTAGGAACAATGTATTTTTATGAAGTATATGGAAATTATTTGCAATACGAATTAAATAAAAAGATTATCACAACATATAATAACTGATATTTATAGATATTTATAATAATAAAGACAAGAATACATTATTTATTAAGACCGTACATGTGAATACGCAATAGGTAAGAATATTAAAGCCTATAAATCTTTAATGCTTAAATAATTCAATGTGAAAAAAATGCGTTATTTTTCTTATCGACTATTGCAAAGAATATTACTAAGGCCTTGGTAGTCTAATATATTGTAGAACGCTCGTACGGAATACAAGAGACTTAGGTTCAATTCTTGGCCGGGGTAATATTTTTCTCAATAAATTTATTTACAATTTTTCAGCACAATAACATCTTTCTAATATGATATCGGATTGAGCATCAAATTATTATTAAATTTGCTTATCAATTTAATTTAATTTGTGATATTATTAGAATAGTAGTTTAATTGTGTTTATAAGTTCAGAAAACCAATTCGGCGCGTAGTTCGAATGATT